TTGGTCAAACCGGGGGCCCTGGCAGCGCCGAACGAGTCAATCACCAGGTTTCGACTGGAAGGACGTCCAAATGAGGCAGGGAGTGCTTGTGTGCTTTGCTCCAGGTGGCTTTTATTACGGCTTTTATTACCGCCCTCGATTTTCACACCTTCCCATGTGCAATGGATCAATTGCGGAAGTCCTCAAATTTGAATGTCAACATGGTGGTCGCTCTTGAGTTTGGCGTCATGCTTTTGGGTGTCCTACAACAGTTCCTACAAATGTTTGGGCATGTCATATCCTTTTGCACGCTGCCGGAAAAGAAAGCAGAGCAAACCATGGCAAGTCAAGAGCAAACCGGGAAGGAAATTGGGCTGGGGCACGGTAGGTGTTGGCATTGCTCCTGGCTGCAAACCCCATTTGCGGCCACACATCACCCGCGTAGGATTTGCAAAGCGCGACCATGGCCGCCGTCCTTGCCAGTCCTGGTGTACAGGGTCTCGTTGAGCCAGCGAAACCTGCCGGGGGTGGCATGCAGGTGAGCCTTGCTCACGTGCAATGACCCTCCCAACACTGTCTCAGAGAGCCAGCAAAGCTTGACAATAAGGCCATCAAAGCTCTTGGACCTCCATCCAGAACTTCGGAAGAGCCACTTTCCTTGACCTCCGCCCGACGCGACGCCCGGCCTTGAGCCCTTGAGCCGGGCCGCGGCCTTGTTTAGGGCACCTGGCTGGGCGCCCTAAGCCTTCCAAGCTGAAACTCCTGTCTGGCTACGTCTTTACAATTACACCTATGGCTAGTCTGCATTCCTGCAGCTTGCTGGGCCACTTTCCACTCACTGGGCGACGGTCATTTTAGCATGAAGCGTGTCCCCAGCCTTGCTTCTGCGTCTGCTTCTGGTGCTCCGGCTGCCTCCTCTTTAGACTCTTGGAAGCTTCCGGTTCTTAGATTCTGGCCCAGTCCGTTCAGCAGGACGGAAGAATGACACGTGAGTGCCAAAGTGCAGCACCGTGCCATGAACTGCTGCACTCGGGAGGATTTCCAACACATATTTGGAAGAGTAGGGAACAAACCATTCCGCAAAGAAGGCACCGATTGGCACGCTCTCTGAAAGTAGCTGTCCATAACCCTCTTGCTCAAGCGATTTCCGGACAAGCCGCTGGGGTCGGCTGCAGGCATACTTTGTGCCTGCTGGTTTGCCTGCTTCTTCTTTTTCATCTTCTTGTCTTTCTTCTGGCTTGGCTCTCCTGGGTCTTCCTGTTTGATCTCATCTTTGGGTTGTGGGTTGTGTTGCTTCTGCTGCTGCTGCCTCCGCTGCTGCTTCTGCAACTGTTTCTGCTGCGTCTCCTCCTCCTCCCGCTGCCTCTGTCGTCGCCTTGCCTTCTTGGAGCTGCCTTGGCCTCAGGGCGCCCAGCTGCCCAAACAAACACAAGCGCGCTCTTCCCAGCCCCTTGCAAGGTAAACCTGGCAGCCCGGAGAAATCCGGTAGCTCGCTTTGACGATGACTCGCGCAAAGGACCGGCTCGTGTTGCTTGGGCAAATCTCCCAGAAGCAACCGCAGCGCCTGGCTCCACGGCGCGCTTGGCCTCAGACACCAAGATCCTACCGCCCACCAATGCCCTCCGTTTGGCAAACTTCTGCGAGGTCCTGCCCTCGGAGGGAGAAGTGGACCAAAGCTAGCGAAGCTTTGGAAACACACAGCGAGCTTCTTGAACAAAGCCAAGCTCCAACAGCAGCGAAGCCCTATGCACCAAAAGGGGGCGGCTGACAATCTGGGGCCCGGAGCCTTGCCATTGCTTGGGCTGGCACCGCGGCCTCCTTCGCTCCGCCCCTCGGATGAGAAAACGGCCCATCAGGTCACCCACAAAATTCCAAACGAGAAGCCCTCAAATCCTTGCCACGACCTCATGTCGCACATCCCTTGCTTTGGGGTTGGGCCTAAGCGGTGGAAGCGTGTGAACCCGGTCTGAGCCATGAGTCTGGCGCTGACTTCGGGGGCCGCGACCGGAAGAGCGAAGCAAACCTCGGATGCAGGGACTGAGCAGAGATATCCTCAAACCGAACACCTACCTTCGTGGCGGCTGGGGGGAGGCAGGGCAAGGGGAGGGAGCCCAAATAAGCCCTAAATAAGGCCATATTAAGGGCTTAAAAGGTCTCCCTCCCGCCCCCCCATGATACCTAGAGGGTACCCGCGTTGTCACTCAAGGCATTACGGGTCGCGAATTCCGCCGGTGACGCCTCCCACGCAAAATGCCAGCTCAAAGAACGGGTCCAACCGCAAAGCGAAGTTGGATGATAGATATTTCGCCGCGATTTCACTTGTACTGCTGCCCTTCTTTCCAGCCAGCGCCGCGTCTACTTGTATGGCCGCAGGCTACGAGAATGCCTAGCTCCCCTAGCTCCGGCTCCATGAACAACGCAACACTGACCGCTGCCACAGAATACAACTGCACTCACTGTAAGCAGCTACGCAAACACCAATGCGCCACGGTATGGCCAAGCTGCATTGCTCGAGTTGCCGCTGGAAACGGGCCAGCCCAGGTGGAGTTGCCGCCATCAGCAGGCCAAGCCCATGGGTACAATCAACGCTGGCTGTGGTCAAATCGGGTGGGGGAAAGCGGCATCCGCGGGGCCCATGCCATGCTCACTGGCCCACTGGGAAACTACACGTGCTGGCGCCGGGTGTGTTGGATGATCTCAGTTCAAACTGAAGCCAACCTGGTCCCTCACCACCCCCAAGCCTCCAAGCAGTGCATTGGCACATGTGTTTTATGCACCGCGATGGATTGAACTCGGGCAATCACCGCGTCCCACGTGAACGTCGGCCAGTCTTTGGGCCTAGGCCGATCTGCCAGGAAACCCAGGTTGCACAAGCCTCTGGGCAAGACTTCGCTGCCCGGAAAGTGACATCGTCATCAGCAGATCTGCTACCACAGGCCGTGCACTGCAACCACTTGCAACCTCCTCAGCTGGACTGTCAAGCGCCGAGTCTGGGAAACTGCTTCCTCGAAACAAGCCGGCCGCGGCCAGCGCACGGCCACGACTTCTCAATTTGGACTATCGGCCCATGCTGCATTTGGTCAGCAGCAACATTTGATAAACTCAGTCGCTTGCCACAGGGGCCACTGCGTGGCTCATGAAGGGCAAAAGGCTGGATATTTTATTTGGGGTGTTGAATGACCGCCATGTGCTCCAAGTGGCAAGCTCTGATTCCCAGTCGAACTGAATTGTACTGTATGTACTGTAGGGGGCTTCAAAAAACTAAGACCTTCCTGTCCAGCTCCTCACTCTGCACCGTCCACATGGACTCGGGGGTGACATGGAAGAGGTTGTGGGCGATCACCCAGCTGATTAAGATCGCTCTCTTGACGGCATCCACCTCTGGGCAAAACTGGTAATGAGCCAGCAAGGGGCTTTGCAAACTTCGCAAAAATCCTGGATGGTTAGCTTTTTCCTATGAAGTACCAGCCGGGCACAGGTTTCAAACATTAGCTCAACAAAAGAAACAAGCTCTGACCCTCCAGCTGGCCAGGAGCGACCTTTCAGCTGGCCACCCCCAGGTGGGCATGTTTGAGACACCCTGCGCCGCGTCTGGAACCTACTTGGATGCTCAACCCACTCAGTAGGGTATAAGATGTTTTGTGTTAACCATGCTTCCAGCAGGGGGTCATTGGTTTTTAGTTCCCTCAGAGACTCGGCTCGCAAGCATCCAAGTGAGAGCCAAATGGACAGGGAAAAGGCACAGCCGCCGCGACCGCGCGACGGCGGTGTCTGCGCAAGGCAAGAGGACGTCCGGCCCGGGGTGCCCCAGAAGGTGCGCTGCACTAAAAGGCGCTTCACATTGAGGTTCCTCTGGGAAGCGAGATTCAACCCAACAAGTGTCAGTATTCCAATGTATTGCCAACCGCGCCGTGAATCTTATCAACCCCAAGCTGCCACTCCTTCGGACCGGTTCGAAGTGGTCACCCAAGTCAACATAGGGCGCTGAAGCCGAAGCCACATGAAGCCAAACACCAGCCGAGGCCCACCCATTGCCCATCACTTGGAAAATGGCAACGCCTTGCCGAATTCGCTCCAAGCAGTGGGGCTGTCGCCGGCGTATGTCCTTATGATCACAACTTCCCACACGTGTCAAGACCCCCGTGTCAGAATTTGCTTCAAGCCAACCAGGCATGAAAAAGCAAGAAGGGCTCCTGTACTCGACACATGGTCGATATGCAGCATATGCTTACCCGTATACATGTTTATGTATATCCGCTCTGTCTGTGTGCGTGTGAGTATATAATGTATAATCGTATACCGTATAACCCGCACCTTAACTTTTGTGCCTGCACACTCACTATTGACTCGAACCACAGATGTGAAGGCCCAACATCACTGGCTCGGATGTGAATCTGGAGCTGGTAGCTGATCTATGCACACGGCCTGTCTGTCTGCTCAGCTCTGCATAAAGCTTGAGCGCTGGTCTAGGGCAATGTTCTCTTGGCAGCATGAAAAAACGATAGAATTGGCAATTGCCATCATGTCTCCAAAGGACCCTTCTCAACGCACCATGGTTTGCTGAACAGGTTCTCTCGCTGCTGCAGACAGGCAGGGTTATGTTTAAAGGCTTCCGACGCTCAAACAGCCCGGCCTGAGTCAAGCAAGAACTGCAGTCAGAAACAGAGCTGGAGGAGACTGCGCTGGCCCCAACCCTCACGACTGGCACCTACGACCAACTGACCAACCTCCAAACAGGAACGGGCGATCTAAGACTCAGAGCGAACTGCCACTCAACCGCTCGTGAACGTGCCATGGATGCCGCCCGAGATACACCCTCCCGCCCCCCCCCCACCCCGTGCCGTGCGCCACTTTTGTTCATCGCCACGCTAAACGGTCACAAGCCGCCATCGCTGCTGTCCTGGGTCGCTACAAGGCGCCCAACCAGCCCTAGGACAATCCCGGACCTGCGCGAGCGCTTTGCGCTCCGCACGATGAAACATTCCGGCTTTGTGGAACGGTGCTATGCGTCCAAAGACAAGCTATACGAGCTTGAAAACACCTATAAGGCAAGCCCCTATGGTGAAAGCAAAACACGCTGGCGCCGCCACGTGGGCCACATCGATCTGAAGAGACCTGCCCAGTGCAAGCATGCACTTGGTAGCACCAAGAACAGCCAGCTAGCAAATGAGCACACAAAAGCTGCAAACAAACAATGCTGAGATTGGGCCCCAACAGCCCAGGGCCACTCTCCAAAAAATCTCAGTAAACACCCAAACGATTTCAGCAGCTTGGCAAAAACAACGGCAAACGGTCGTGTGACTCCTCTAATAAAGCAAAGCACTTCCGCTCCCTTTCCCTCTCCACCCATTCCCTGCTCGGCCTTTGGCTCTTCCTCCGGCCTTTCAGCCGAAACTTCCGAACTTGCTCAAGCGATGCCGCGCTGCAGTATCTCCTCAGATTCTGTTGCGCCAGGCCAGGCCACTTGCCACCAGGCAAAGCAAGCTTGAGAGGAAGTGCGGGCACGCGCGTGCAGGTGCGCTCGTGCGTGTGCGCGTGTGCGAGCACGTGCTGGCGTGTGTGCCCACCGGGCGACTTCTGAGAGGTAAGGTCGGGTTGCTTGAGGTCATCGTCCGTCATGGCCTTGAACAGGTAGGCGTCAAGCTCCTCCATTGTGAGGTAGCCCGTGTGGCTTGCATCGATCCTCCCAAGCAGAATAACCACCAATGCTGCAGGAGGCCCTCAGTTCCCTGCACACACCAACACGAAACACGACCCAGCAAGCTTAACAACAAAATCCTTGCTGGGGCAAATCATCAAGGAAGGATACAGGTATTGAAATGCGAAAAATGCATCTCAAGCGACGGCCGCAGGAACATTGACGGCTCGTTTTGGACCCGCGCGCCAAGTTGAGTGATGAGGACTTGCTGGTCCTACCTCATCACGCGACATATTTCCTACACGGGAAGCAACTGCCGACTTTGCTTGTCTGTTCCTTCTTCTGCCAATGATTCTGCCGACGGAGTGCAGGAATCGCACTGCGGGCCCCATATCCGAGTCAAGGTGGGCACTCTTCTTTGAATTCCGTTTTTGCCTGAAGTTGTCGGACCCAACATTCCGCAGCGCAGGCCCACCTGGTCGGAGCTCGGAGATTGCATGCTGCGGGAGGCAGGGGCAACTTGCGGCTGTGGTTTGGCCATTGCTGTGGCTGGATCTTGGGAGGCCTTGACCATGGTGGCTTGTGTCTGCGCATAGCTTGGAAAAGTTAATGGTGCCCTCGTTCACTTCTTCGCTCTTGGGCGCCACGCAGGCAGCGGTGCGCCATAGCTTCGCCTGCGCTACCCACATATAGCATCCATATTCCCTTCGGCGTGTCAAGCTCGTTCACGGGTGATGTTCACGAGCGGCCAGTAGACTTGCCAGGTCAAGCAACGCTAATTGTCCTCCACGACCACCTTCTGGCCTCTCGCACCAGATTCCCAATTTCTTTTTGTCATCTGTGTAGCGCTCGTCAACCACCTTGTTCAATTAGATCCTTCCGGCCTCTGCATCTCGGAGAACCTGTGGCCCAGTGCCCCCCGTGCAAATGTTTTCGAGATGCGTTCGCTCAAGCGCGCCAACGCCCAAGCGCTGCTTGTTGCACATTGCTCGGGAACTTTGGACGGTGGGCTGGGGGCTGGGCTTGAAAAGCCACACCCTGGCCGCCACCCACCATTCGCCGCAACTCCGCGCGCCCATCGTGTGGACAGCCACTGCCTTGACAGAACCGCACAAGCCTTCTTTTATCCTAGGCCGGTTCAGAAGCCCACGTCTGCTGTTACTTCTTGCTGAGCTCCCCTGCCTCAAGACCGCTGTCTGCTCGAGCGTTACCTTGCCTCCAGTGCCCTTGGGCGCTCGCCATTCAACCGTGGGACCAATATGTCCAACACCCTCACCCCCACCCACCCCCCCCCAAAAAAAAAAAAGCTGTCGACCACGGCAAAAAGAGTCCGTGGCTCTTTTTACCGCCCTCACTCCCAAAGCCTCGTTGGTACGACTCTGCAAAAACACGCTGCTGACGCGAGCCAACGCAGAGACGGGCCCAGAAGTTCTTGGCACCGTCTCTGTTGTCAATGATGCAAGGGGCCCGGATGCAGTTGACTTGGACTAGGCTGGGCTCGTTGGAGGAAACATCAACGCGTTCCTGTAGACGATTTGCACAGGGCTGGGGTGGGCGCGCGCAAACGTGGTACGGCATCCATACATCGAGAAGGTAGAATTGGCCCAGTCGAACGCCTTCGCACCCAAACCCGCTTTGATTCGGCCCCCGCTGGCCCTCCCCAGCACAGCAGAGCGGAGAGCCCAGCGATGGGGGAAACTGCCTTCCCTGCACCACCACCGTCACTGAGGCGGGCAAAGCCAAGCAAAAGAGACGCGCGCCTGAAAAGACAAGGGGCTGTGAGCGCCCGAGCCACTCCATCTCAGCCTGGGAAGAGTTCTTCAACTGCTCTATAGACGGCGCAAGATCCTGCAAAACCTTAGAAGTCGAAACTGCGCCTTGCCGCTGGCGATGTCGAGGTTGCCCTGGGTCTCTCTGACATGGCTCTGTTTGACGGAGCACCCTTTGCCCCAGGGGCGCTTTCCTTGAAGGAAGGGCGACTGATCTCCGGCCCCTGCTTCGTCAGAACACGCTGCCTGATCAGAGATTTCCGGGTCGCTGTCCATTGGCGTCATCACCGTCAGCTTCGGTTCTGTGGGCTGACTCGCTTCCGCGTCACACCTTTGCAAAAACAAACGTGCCCAAACTTGCACCGATCACCTTTCCGGCGGCATCATACTTCGTGTACTCCGAGCTCCCGTCCACCCTTCTCGCAGTCTGAACTCGTTGCGCCTTCGACTCAAGCCGGCTGCGCTGGAACTTGCATCTCAAGCAACGGGCGCACGGAAACACACACACACACACACAATTATTTCTTTGGAGAGGGGTAGCGCCCTGCAAAGTGGTCCCCGTTTGCCATGTGGCCCCCCTTTGCCCTGCAAACCCAACAGAAAATCGCGCCACCTCCTTTTCGGACCAGAGCTTTTCTTGCCTTCCCACCGTTTGTTTGCAGCTGAAACTTGCGACAGCAAGGGAGATTGCCTCCATTCAAACATAGTAATTTTCGATGTCACAGCCATGGGAAACCTGGCTCCTGGCGAAGGCCTCTTGGAGCTCCTCCCCACTCAAGGCGCCCTGAAAGGTAGCGCCCAGCTCCTCCAAGTTCACCTGTCGAACATGATCATGCGCCTGTGTTGGCTCCCCGTTATTTTCGGGGGGAGTTGCCAGAAGGGCCAGAAGGGGACCCCGTGTTTAACGGGAAGCCCAATAAAACCCACCATGTGTTTGTACAAAGCGCGGAGTTCAAACCGAATCCAAGGAGAATGCGCGGGAAGGGGGTGAAGGAAAGTGGGAGCATGTGGGAGCTGCCTGGGAAAATTTCGGCCACGCAAGCCGATCCAGGAGTACAAGGAGGCACTGGGCAAACCTGCTGACTTACGCGCATTCTGGCCGACAGCACCTCATATCACTGCGGCGGCTCCAATGGGAATATGTGGAAAAAACAGATGAGTCAATTGGAAGGTGGTCCCAAAGCAGGTCGGCGAGGGAAGGCGTGTATTGCTTTTTGATCGTTCGGCGCACTTTTTGGGAGCCCAATTCCAACCCTCCACATTGAAAGCAAAACGACAACTTGACCAGACACATGATGTATTTAGAGCCGCTCAGAGAAGTCTGGCAGCAGCATCGTTTGACAAAAATATTAGGCCAGTATGGGCCTGTTTTCCTTTAGTGGCACTTGTTTGTGCAATTAGCTCTACTGACTAAACAAGTGGACAGCTTGCCAAGGAATTGCCATTCGACAAATCACAGCTTTTTCGGCTCGACACCTCTCGGAAACGGGTCTGCCGAAGGCCTGACCGTTCCTATCCTTATCCAGCGTGTTGAAGAGCTGCTTCAAGGTCCGCTGCAGCTCCGACCTCTCCACCGAATTCCAGTCGAAGGTCACCTCACAGCGGCCAACTCCCTGCAAACCCAAGGTGATGTTGCTAGGGTCAGCCCGCATCTCAGAGCCGCCATGGTCCAGCTTGTGCACAACTCGTTTCTCTTTCGTTTCCGCGCGCGTCAAGAATGGGGGCGCAACGAAACAGGCTGGGGCTCGGGAAGACGGACAGCCACATTCGTTGCACAACTCCGGGGAAGGAAGCTCTATCCAAAGGCGCCGCGACAAACTCGGGGAAGTTGAGGACGCCATCATTGTCCACGTCCGAAATCTTGAAGATGTGGTCTATCCGATCAGTCGCGCCTGACAAAGAGCTGCTGTTCATCCGTGCTGCAGCCAGAGCTTGCACAAACGCCAGGCACAAGGACCCAGCCTGACACGCTCTTGCTGCAGAGCCTGCCTCAGGATCAAAGGCGCTGCTGGTGATGCTGGGGGTGTTGCTGGCGCTAAGGTTATGAAAGCCAAAGCCACGAAAGCCATCAAAAGCGACGAAGATCGCAAGAAGCAGCGGAGAACCCAGCCCGGATAAAAACAATAAAAAAAAGTGAAAATATGGCCCTCCATTCCGATTCCCCTTGCGAAGGTTTTGCTACCTGCTATCTCCAAGCTCTGATCGAGCTCAAAATGTGCTGCAAACAAGGGATTGCCCCCCGCGAAAGGAGCTAGATGGAGCACAGGCTTTTAAGTTGGGAATCAGCTCCTTCTCTCCAGCTGTACAAGGATTGAGCAAACCTACTGCCGTTGGCCCAACCCTCACACTGCCACAGCATGCAAAAACATGCAGTCTCCACGAGGGTATGCGGGCAAGTCGGCGCTGGTTCAGTCATGTCGTTGGAGAGGCCGTTCCCAATGGTACCGCAAACATGTTCACTGTCCAAAACTCCGTCCAAGTGCTTCTGGGTGTGCTCAACAGTGGATCTGGTACCCATTGTGGCTTTCTTTGGCGGGTTAGTGATTGGGAGGTTCTGTTTACGAATTCAATTGGGAGTCTTTCGGAAATCATTGTTTGAGCCTTGAACGGTCATTGAATCCAAAAAAGAAAAAGACATGCTGTCTTCCGGGATGACCTCCTTCTGCCGGGGGGCCGGAGCTGGGCTTTTTCATCAGCTCCTTGCAGGCCTTTCGGAACTCCTGGAGCGACAGTCCACCATCGACATCCTGAAAGGGTCAGATCAGTCGGGCTTCGAGACTCGCTCTCAACAAATGCAGGGACCCTTAAGGCTTTACCGACAAATATCTCCACATTAACCCAGGATGACAAAGAGTGCGCCCTTTGAGTTGGGAATCTGCAAGGGAGGTGCACAGGGAGGGCGGCTGGCACCAACTCCAGCCCCCAACGCTTTGCCGCCAAGGTGAATGTACCAATTCCATCAGGCCTTCTCCATGTGAATCTTGGGTTAGTTGTCTTGCAAAGAAAAAAAACGGGGGGTCTCTCTAAATCGTGCTTGTCACAACGTCATCCTCGCTTCCTGAAAGCCACCCAATGCACATGACTTCTCCGAAACCCGCAATGCTGCAAAGAAGCAGTGTCGAACTTCTGGAATACCTGCCAGGCACTTTGTGGCAATTCAGCGAGATGGGGAAAGTACTCAACCCTGCGTTGAAACGCGTCTACGCCCTTGCCTCAAAAACTGTCACGAGCGACATGCATTTGGAACCAATGTTTGCTAGAATTCGTTTGCGCCCAGTAGCTACACACACCCTCGTAATTTTGAGAGAAAACCTTGGCTTAGAATCTAGGTTGATGACCATATTTGCAACCCCAAGTCGAACATATTTTTGACCCTGGCAAATGCGAGTCATGATCAAAATCAGGAGCACGCGGCCCGTCTTGCGGGAGGCAAGGGCAACACCACACGCACACATCCACGGAATGGGAGGGATGCTTTGGAAGCCGTGAGTCTTGGTAGGCTTTGCCCTGGGGCAGCTGGGTGCTGGCCGCGCATGCTTCAGAGTCGCTACTGTAGCGTGGCCCACCTAGGGAAATTTGACCATGGCACACACGTTACAACACGTTGCTTGATCTCTCTCTCGCTCTCCCTCTCTCTCTCTCTTGGATCGTCTCGGCAAGGCCACAGCCGTTGTGTTCAATCAGGTGAATGGCGGAGAACTAGACCAGTGCGTCACTGAATGTTTCTGCCTGAAGCAAGGAGGCTGTCAGTGAGTGGGGCAAAGTCCCCTCAAGTTGAATCAAATAAACCAGCTACGTTCAATTCTACCGGGCTCCCGCCTGTTTGCAAACTAGCATGCAGACAACAAACTGCTAGACAGCAAACTGGCGCGCATTGTGGCGGGCCAGATTGCTAGCTGTCCAGCATGCTAGCTGGCTAGCTGGCCTGCCAGCTCTGCTTGCCAACTGGCAGGGGAGCTAACCAAAACCGGCTATCAAAGCAGTCCGGCTGGCCAGCAACTCAACAAACCGGCTTGCCTGTGGCTCGACATGCTCGAGCTTCCAAACTTCCAAAGGTGGGCGTGCGTCAGATTTACTCCGCCATGGGCATCGCTCGGGGCCTTCCAGCTGTCCTGGTAGTAGTCGCGCTTGAGCTTCGTCGCCAGGGCGTTCAGCAGCAGAGTGTGCGCCATGCCCTAAGAGTTGCAGCAAACAAGGCACCGAGCTGTATGCTTTGAACGGTTAAACGCCGCATGGGGGATGCCTAGACAGGAGGACATGTTTGGTTGAAACTTGTTTGTCTCTTCTGGCTGAGCATGAAGTAATGCTTGTTGGTTCCTCTCTCTTTCTCTTTCACTGGCCACTCCGCACAGTTTGTTGGTTCCTGGTCAGCGGGATGGGGCTTCGGTACATCAGTTGACCCTTGCTGATAGCTATTCGGTTGGGCGCGCGGCCTTGCTCTTCTTGAACTCCAGCCTCAAGCTGCGAAAAAGACACAGGGGCCTCAAGAAGCAAGAACACCGCTGGCCATGGCAGGAGCTGGGTATGTCCCAATCATCCAAAGTTTACAAGAAAATATGCGGAATGGGCATGCGCCGAGCCAAGGGGAATCCCGGTGCTTGCTGGCCGTCAGGATTAAGCAACGCCGCGCCTTCTTGAGAGGACCCGCACCAAGGGTTGAGACGCATCCAACTGCCAACTGTAGCCAACCGCCAAGCACCGGGCTTGGCCAAGTTGGACGCGCTGATCGCGCAGTCTGTGTGTTCAGTGAACCAGGGGTCCTGAAGCTTGTATCCCGTTGCCCGCAACAGCTGGCCGAAAGGTCTTGCAACCAAGGATAACCCACTTTGACCCTCCAGGAAGCGTCTGCAACATGTGAACCCAGAGATTAAACCGACAGAGCCTTGGCAACCAACAACCGCAAAACAAAACAAAAAAGCAGAGTGCGAAACGGCAACGCGCTGGGGTGGTTCTCGGTTGTTCCACCTATCCTCCTCGAAACTATTTGCAAGAGGACATGCCATCTCAAATAGCTTGGCAGATTCTAGCAGCCTCATACTCAGGCATTGCGAAGCTGACCATACCTTCGATTTGCAGTCCTTCGTCGCTTCCCCAGCTGTCGGCCGCTTGTCCGGATCCTGGAGGGCGGGAGGAAACCCGCGCCTTCAAAGGCCCTTGCGCGGAGGCCCACAAACAGAGGCCCCTGAGAAAGTCCAAAGTTCCGCAGAAGGCTTGCAGAAAAAGCCCAGGAGCCAATCGGCGCGAAATCTACCACGAGTCCTTGTCGAGCAGCATCCTCAACAGGGTCTTCGCTTCCTCGGATGATCCTGGCACTGGGCAAAAAAATGACATGCTGTCAGACTTTCTGCTGAGCTGTGCAAACTCATAGGAAATGTTCAAACCTTCCGCCTAGCCTCCATTCCGGCTCGAGTCGCAAAACCGACAAGCTGGCCTTCCAAATACGGTTCCACGAGGAGGTCCTGCCAGGCACGAGCGACACGCCGCGCTTTTGGCCCCAGGTTGCTGTCTTGAGTGAGTCAAACAGACTTGTTTATTCAGCACCGTTGGGTGATACGCAAGCCCCAAGTGCCTAGGAATTGGCTCACGAGTAAGCAACCATTCACGCACATGGCTTGCATTCTCGGGCTTAAATCCACACTTAGTTCTGTTGGGCGACCTGCAGCTACCCCTGGGCAAAAGAAGCAAGTCGAGATTTAATTATTCTGAGACATCGTTGCATCGGGGTCATCCTGCTACTGCTTGCTCTGATGGCAGCTGGCCACCAGTCAAAACAATGGCTTCCTTGCTCTCTTGGGACTCCAAACAGCGGCTGAAGCATGCAACGAGTTAAGACAAGATTTAAATATTCTAGGACTCATTTCGCCATGTGTGCCCTCGACCCCTTCCCTAGCAGTGGAAATTAATTCTGGGGCACAAAGTGCCCTTCGGGAATCAAACAACCTGCAGTTCGTCATTGGATAGCTGAATATTGAAGAATATGGAGCTAACTCATTCCCGAAAATGTGAATGTTGACGCAAAAGAACGAAATCTAGAGGTCAATGTTCATCAAGAGCCTGCAAGTAGGCTGCAAGGGAATATGTTTTGGCTTCATCCTTTAAATCCTGAATTTCACTCCCTTCCGCATGTTGACAACACCGACCCCCGTAAAGGTCATTCAAGAAAAGCCACCGCGAGCACTCGTCGCACTTTACAAAGAGCAAGAGGCCGGGCCAAGCATCTCCCTCCTCTTCTAGGATTCCTTTCTTCAGCTTTTCCCATCTGTGCGCGTCTTGAGTGACGTCATCCAGCTGGATTGCCTCGTAGAGGAAGGGTATCGTGCCTGGAGAGCCAACCCCAGACCGGCAGATTGCTCAAATATTAGGTGCTTCGGTGGCCCAGCTACCCGCTTGGAGCCCATCGGCCGAAAGGGCCTGTCCGAGCAACTGGTTGGTGCACTGAGCCTTAAGCCGTGCAAGTGCCTTGGCCCTGATTCATGTGTTTCAAGTGGGTTTCTATCAAATGCTGGACCCCCCAATAAAACGGTTCAGAAAGAAGAAGAACCAATGGGTGTTTCCTGTTTTTCTTGGTTGTTGGGCTCAAGGGAGAAGAACAAAAAGAAGAAAAAAAACCTGCCAACCTCCTCCAGGCCCACCTCCACCCCCCCGACTTCGCCTCCACTGAGGAGCTCGAAGAGTGTCACACCCAGAGACCACACGTCAGCCCTGAAGTCCACACAGCCTCGCGGCACCGGAAGCTACCCGGTCCAGGCGAGGGACTCCCACAAGGTGAACAGGGAACAACCACCCCCCCTACAAAGAAAATGATACTATATGTCCAACCTGAAAACCGTCACACCAACAAAGGAATCTAACTTTGGCCCAGAAAGGTGAAGTTTAAAACACCCGCCAAGAGCATGCAGGGGGTCAGTGACCGTGCTTGTTTTTGGCGGGCCCCAAAACCTGCCTTGCCTTTCACAAGCGGCTGTCATTTCTACTGAGGTTGGCCTAAAATGAAGCAACCTAAACCTGGGCGGGTCCTTTCCAATGTCCCTGCTCTCTTGGTACAGTGCTCAGGTCAAATACACGCTGCTCACATGGTGCGTATTGCTCAAACATCTGGCAACTGCTACTGTGTAAACAGCCTCAAACCAATTTCACGCAAACCCGCCCTTTGCCATAGCCAAGGCACGGTTCAGGGCTGCGGCCTTTTGGCGCTCTTCCTTCAGAGTGGCCATCAGCACACGGAAGGTCTCGGGGGACTGGTACCGGGGGTCCCCGCACACGAACTCTCGGTCCCCATTGACCTGGCAAAAAACGGCGCTGGAGACAATGCCCCTCTGAGCAGCCACTTGTTGCTCGCGCTCTGCGTCGAACACGGTAGGCGACACAGTCAGAAAGAAACTCAATTTCCAAAGTTAGGATTTTGTATGACAGGAAACTTGGGGACGTGTAAACCTCGAAAATGGGAACAGCAGCAGCCAGATTGGAGCCTTTTTTGGCCAAGCTCGCGCAAATCAGTGAAGCTTCCCCTTCCCATGAGCGCATGGTACCCTGGCTCTCCGGTCCATGTTGATCTCCATGTACGTTGTTTTCTTCAGCGGGCCCTCCCTACCATTCTCTCGCAAAACCAAACAGCACGCCACGCCAGCACGAGAAACCCCCATGCCCACCCGCGGCCTTTGCGCAGCCAAAATCCGCCACCGTCACCCAGGGCACTCGCAGAGGATCCTGCGGTTGGAACCTCAGCGCCGACTTCTCTTTAAAAACCCACAGCCCAACCCGAAGGCGGTCAAATCGCCACCTTTTCGAGACCTGAACCTGGTTTGGATCAGCCTGCCCCAATGGCCCAAGCACAAGAAAAAGGCATTGGGCGCGATTGTTGACGTTTGCGGCTGCAAGCTCCAAGCCCAGGAGCTCCTGAATGCACAAAAAGTTGTCCGGCTTGAGGTCGCCGTGGACGACGCTGTGGCCTCAAGGTCTGTGCAAACACGGGCAAAAGGTGACAAGTCGTCCCACGAAGGCCCAAAAAAAAAACTGGCGCGGGCCCGAAACCCCCAGCTCAGGCAGGCACTGTGCAAGTAGGCGACGCCGCCCATGATCTGCAAACAGGCACCAGCCACCCAGCCTTCCCCGATGGGAGTGCCATGCTCGATCCTGAGCTTGCTCAAAACCCTCCCGTCCCCCGTGCTGCAAGCCATCAAATCTGCAGGCTGAAGCAACACCTGCCCTTCCATGTGCCAGCCGGGTCACATCTTTGTCATGTACTGGAGCAAGTCGCTCCCCGCCTTGGCTGCGCAAATCGCACGTCGTCCCAGCCTCAAAATGGAGACAACAAACAAAAGTTTGACAGTTCAAAAGCTGGGTTTTAGGCAAGTGAGGGAAAAAGCCATACGGCTGTTGGGCCAAGCAGCGGCAAGCTCAGAGATGACGTAGAGGCGATCCCTCCACTCCTCGTTCACCATTTCCTTTGCCTGCACCAGCTCCACCACCTCTGCAGGCCATTGCTTCTTCGTAAAATTAAGGCCCCCCGAAGAAAAAGCCTGTGGCATGTAGGGGTCTCTCTTGAACGTGTTGTGTTCGTTAGCAGCAACAAAGCGCATCAATGAACCCAGAAAATTGACTGGACTCAAACCACCCGGCAAAAATGTGCTCAAGCTAGCTTGCATTTTTCCGGCCACTGCAGCACCAAAGGAAGACGGGCAAATATGTCATATCCCCACTGACTCCGGCTCAGAAGAGGCGTCCAAGCATGCGACCTAGCAGTTTGCTTGCGCGCTTCCCGCCTTGGTGATGTTCGGGTGCTGCAGGCCTGGCATGAAAGGTAAAACCCAAGGAAGCTGTTGACATCCGAAGCGGAAGGGCCCAGCGTTGGAGTGCAAACGTTGGGATGGGTTTGCCTGGGACAAGGAAAGGAAAACTACGGGTCTTGAGGGGGGGTTCTCATTCGGGCACACAACCCGCATCCACCACATCCACCTGCAAAAAATTGCCGGTCATATGTCTGCATGCCATGCATCTATGCAGCTGGGGGACGCTTCATATGCTCAAACTCGTTGAGCAGATCGGAGAAGGCATAGTCAGTTCTTAGGATACAATGGATACGGCGCACTACTTGCAGTGCGGAAGGGAAGAAACACCACTGCCCTTGTCAAAGATGCGATGGGACCTCTCTTCATTAGCTGCCTGCCAACAACTGCAACAGAGCATGCAGGACATGCTGTGGTCACCTGTGCGAATAACACCACCCCTCAATGTGCTCTTTCAAGCATCGCCAAAGGAAACTCACACAAACTCGCCCTGAAATGGGTATGCAAACCATGCCAATAAAAAAACGGACTGTCAAGCACGAATTCCGAGGCGAGGCGCATCTCCTTGGTCTCCTTTGCCACAAAAAGCGTCTCTGCTTGGTCCGCATCCGGTTTTGTCTTGCTCGTCTTGGGCCTTTGCCGGCTGCAGTCGAATCCAAGTTGTACCACTTGCCTAATTGAACACGAGACACATTTTTGGTGGCAAACATTTGACTGCCAACAGGAGTCCAGAAGACCTGTTAACCACTGTCCCCTTGATATGCCCACCCACCCGCCAACACACCAACCCACCCCGCCTCACAATGTATGCCCTTCCTTGCCGTCCCGCACCAATCCTCAGTGCACACGCATCGCCTTGGACACGTGCAAACATTCGGCCGCAGCCGCAACGTCTGACCCAGGGCCCCGACTGCCGGACAATGTCGTACCTTTCCTTCAGCTGGCCCTCGAAGGTGCCAACCTCAGCGTCCGCCCCCGAAAACGGACGACTCCGGCCCGTCCCAGTTCGAAGAACGCCCACTGGGGCAGAAGATCAAGGCTGGGCATCTGGCAAGATCTGCGTGTGAGAATTTGGTCCTTGCACGAGAGGGGGCCAAACAAGAATCAATCGCGAACACGTGCAGCTTTGCTTGCAGATGAGGCTCTTGGAAAACAGGTGGCCCATTCAGTCTAAAGGCTGGCAACGTGCATTTGCACAAAGCCCGGAATTCGCGCTCCGGAGATCTGGACTAACAAATTGGCTCCAAAGCGCGGCTCGGGAAGGATCTGTGGAATGGGCCTTTGGGCATATCGAGGGCTGAACGTGCTTTGTGCTTTGCCTACGTGAGTAATTGAGCCTAAGCGGCTGCCATGAAGAACAGCGGATGGGACTCAAAAAAGCCTACAGGCACCCAAATGAACAAGGGGTTTCCGTTTTGGGGCAATCCTGTTCTGGAACCCTTCACTTCTAAAATCAATGCCTTGTAAAATTTGACTCTTAGTACCTGCTCGCTTTGAGGCACCACAGCTACAGAACAACACCAACAGCACCCCGACGCCCAAACGCAAGGCGACGCTGAGGGCATTCACTCGGTTCGCGAGGAGTTGGCGCATAAGCTGAGTTCCGCTGAGCCTCCGAGCAAATGAGAGCTGGCTGTTTAATGACCGCCCCTCTCACTTCAGTCGCGTGAAAAACGGGCCATTTTGAGACCTACCGGGCAACTTCGCATCCGCCGCGGCCCGGGCTGTCCAGGAGGGAAGGCTCGCAGCGGCCCGGGCCAAGCTGGCCACCTGCGACCGGCGAAAGCGGTGGCTATCCGTTTTCCCTTAGAACCAACACTTTGCGACAAATAGCCTCGAAAACCTTTGCTTGGAAAATCGGGATTGCTACACTTGACGGGGGGGCGGGCCCTTCTGTGGTTCTGTCGTGAGGGTCGTGGAATACTTTGCATGAATAATGAGTCCTATAAAGTCTACAACTAGTTGTACGATAAATGTTGAGCCAGCAATTCCCGTTGTCAACGCCGGAAACAAGGTTTCGAGACTGGGTTGCCATGGGAAACGCATTGATGTCTTGTCTGCTATCGTTTCTGGCTTCCGACAACATTCCAACCATATTCGAATGCGTCTTGAGTTTGAGGCTTCCCGGTTTGAGGTTAAGCCTCTAGGACCTAGGATTCCGCCCATTTTGGCAGTCCGCCACAAGTCGACCTAAAGCTTAACTTCTGCGCCCCCAAAAAGCCGAAAGCCTGCAAGCTCACGCCTCAAACAGGGACATGCTTGCCCGAGCCAGGCCAGTCTTTGTGGGTGGTGGCACAGTTGGTATTTTTTTGGGGGGCTTCCTAGGGAAAATCAGCCAGTTCAAGCTCGCATGTAGTGTAAAGCTGCTTGGATGTCCATGACCAAAGCAAAGAAACGTCTGTTGCCGCCACCAATTGTGAAGGCCAGCCCAACAGCAAGCAACGTAGCCGAAGTGCCCATGTTTGTCTGCGTTCGTTTGATGGGCACACCCACCTACCTCCTGCCCCTCTCACGGCCTCGTCCTGCAGATCGGGATCCGGGAAGAAGTGATACGAGCATGTGAGGACCTGACACCGGCAGACGAGGCACAACTAAGCGCGAAGCACCATGTAACAGACAAAACGGGAAGCTTTCGAGGTCTCAAGCCGTCCTTCAGAGCCTAAAAGAAGAGCAGCAAAGCGCAGCCCGCTGCAAATGGCATCCAATGTAGGACAGGCATGGGCATGATGCACTCCTGAAAGTGCAGCCCTGGGTCAATGCCACGACTTCTTGCAATATGACGACCATGCGCAAATCCCTAAATGGAGAAACCATTCTACAGGAAGGACGCCTGAAACCTGCCAATATCAGCCCTCTCGCAGGCCCTTGCATGACACCAGCCCTTCCAAGTGCTGAGTTGCCGGCAGGTTCGAAGCCTCTCCTGCGCTGCACCTCCCAAAGGCGAGCGGCTGAGGGGCTTCGCTTTGCTGGTACTGCTATGGGGTGGTGTCAAAGGGAATTCAGGCCCACGTTTCCCGGAGAGGTCCCTCATTTAAAGACTTCACAAGAATCTAAACCAGCCATGCAAGTCTTTTTCGTCATGACATGAAAGGAGTCATCACAGGATTGAACAACGCAGATGGCGTATGCTTACATGCTTGCGTCTTCTCATCTGGCTGGCTTTCCCTAAAATTGCCAGCTTACCTTTCCAAATGGCCACTTGGACTACCTCGATCTGACTAGTTTACTTTGAGGGCTGGAAGCCTTCAAAGCTCTTTCAGACCCTTCAGACCCCGTGGCTCCATCAGGCCAGCGCCTTGTAGATATCACCCCCACCATTCCCAGGCTCGATGCACCTGGAGGAAAACGAGATGTTGGTGGCATTGGGCAAGCACCGGCGCATGAGGTCCAGGCTTGTAGCGATGCTCAATGGCATGCTCAATTACCTGAAGCAGTGACAGCAGGGAGGGAGATGGCAACCCACACCAGATCACGTCTTCTCGAACGGCCACAGGATCTGGGCTGCGGGCGGCATAGTAGCAGCACTCAAAGTGTAAGAATGGTGTCTCAACGTCGGACGGGCGGAACCTTTCGGGAAGCACGGTAAAGCCAACCAGCGCGAACTTGCAACCAACGCAAAGGTGACAAGGGAAGACTATGCAGTAGTTCCACAATGAGGCTACCACAGAGCCTGCATCCCCCCAAGGCCCGCCAGAACTATAACTTCACTGGTTGCAAACTCAGCCGGGCGCACCCCCAGTAACGCCCAGAGATGCGTCCATCCTTGATGAAGCAGAACCTCAGCTCGCATGGCCACGAAACCGCCAAGCCACAAGGTCACAAGCATGCCATGCTTGAAGCCCTCGCCACCTTCAAAATGAGGCCGGGACGAGCCACCCATCAGGGCACCGCCCTGTCTTTCATCGCCTCAGTGCACGTGTGGGAAATCCAACGTCACTCCCTCCCCCCAAAACAAAGTGCGCAACATATGCCAGCCGCAGATCTCTTGAGAAGCTGGCGTGCAAGAACCAAAAGGACCCGATGCGGCTGGTGTTCACCTGGGAAGCAAGCGCAGGAATGAAAGTCGCCCTGTTGTCTATGCAAGTGATCACACTCAGTGCGGGGCCAACAAATCTAAAAAAGTCCTCCGTAACATCGAACCTGCAAGGGAGCATCACTTCCAAACTGCGAGCAGCATCGTGGGCGCTTTTGTTCAAGGATCAATGTCAGGTGCCCGTGAGGCTGTACAGCCCTGCTCCCGCTGTAGCAAAGGTAAGCCAACAACTTCACCCAATCAAACAGCCAGCAAAGCGCCATTCAGACTACAACCCGACTGGCCGAACAGGAGCGCCGTCCCAAGAGCCTATACTGACCACCGCACAAGTCCACGTTGCCATGCTTGAGCCTGGGCCGAAATGAAAGATCGAATGACCGGGGAAATGAGACCAGATAATGGTCAAGCAAACCAAGCAAGCAAGCCAAGCAAAGCAATTCAAGGCAAGCCAAGGCAAAGCAAAGCAAGCAGGCAAACAAACCGACAAACAAACCACTCTTGGGCTTTGGCTTCGTGGCCAATTGCTGTAGACACAACATATATCATACACACCACACACACCACACAAACACACGCCACACACACACACACCACACACACAACACCCACACACATACACCACATCACACACAACACACGCACACGCACACGCACGTCACACGCACACACACAGACACACACAGACACACACAGACACACACAGACACACACAGACACACACAGACACACACAGACACACACAGACACACACAGACACACACAGACACACACAGACACACACAGACACACACAGACACACACAGACACACACAGACACACACAGACACACACAGACACACACAGACACACACAGACACACACAGACACACACAGACACACACAGACACACACAGACACACACAGACACACACAGACACACACAGACACACACAGACACACACAGACACACACAGACACACACAGACACACACAGACACACACAGACACACACAGACACACACAGACACACACAGACACACACAGACACACACAGACACACAGACACACAGACACACACACACACACACACACCACACACACACACACACACCACACACACAGACACACACTCAGACACAGACACAGACGCAAGTACACACACACACACACCGACTGGCACCACCCATGTTTGTGACAAGGTCCCGGGCTGAGTTGGCATGTAGCAGGTCTGGTACCTTGCGCGTTTTGCCCCCGTGCTTGCGTGAGGCGTGAAGCAATGTGTGGCAGTGCAACCGGCCAGCAGTAAGCAACCAATGGAGACGGATTCCTCCCAACAAAACATCCGACTGGGCTCCCAACACCTCAGACATGAGCTCAGGAGTGACCTGGGCTCGTCTTGCCATGCTCTGAAACCGCACCTCAACTCTGACGAAACATGCGGAACGAAGCGCCATCTCCATGAACAGCAGGCCTCTGAGGCCCCAACTGCACTGGCATCCTGGGAGCCATCAATCACTTCCACTCGAACCTGGGCGGGACAATGACCGCTGAAATTGGAGTCCTTTGTTTCCTTGCTTTGAGCTTTGGAGGTACTTGCAGTGCTACGTTCAGCATGACGCCAATGGATGAAATTCCAATCCTTTCTTGATGAACCTCCCCTTGCCATGGAAAGAGAACCCGATGCCACCGGCAAAAGGATCCTAGGCCTCCCTTTTCACGCTGAGGCGGCAGCACCAGCCACCTCACGCAGGGCCTCAAATCTGCCCATGGCTTCACTCGCATAAGAGGATCAATAACAGGCCGAAGGCAACTGCCAATGGCTAATCCTTGCGCAACTCGGACAAGTATATACTTCAAGCTGTCAAAGCCAAACACTCATCTAGATAAATTATAATAATTCAAATTCTGAAACAAGGGATCCGCAACACGGGAACCTTATCGGCCAGCACGAGGTTGCACCCTTTCCCCCTCCCTCGGTGAGGTCACCGGACTCATGGCCAAAACTTCTGGGTGCCCAGCCGATCGCTGCTTTGCAATCTCCCGTGCATTCTTGAGGCGAAGCCTGAGCTGTCATGAGTCATGAGCGAATGGCCGGCATCGTCGCCTTGGAGATAGGGTCGGAAAGCCTACCTGCCCGACTCATTGGGACCGTTAACCGAGTGCTAAAACGATGGGCTTGGACCTGTGAGCAAGGCCTGGAATCTTCGGCGCATGTTTTGAGACCGGCAGGCCAGCAGGAGGCTCCCCGCCAAACCCACCCGAGCAGCCGAGCACCCCACATCCGCAGGAAATCGTTGAAGTCACTGTACGGCTCAGGCCTTAGGCGTGGCCGATTGGGTTTGGCTTTCAGCCTTGCCCCACGCACCCACCCGCCCCCGGAAAAATGAAAGGCCACGAGCCCCGCAATCCTGTACTAACTTGTGGCCGACATTGGCAACTCTTGCGCGTGTCAGTCCTTTGTTTTCCGGGCTACCGCGCCTAAAACTGTGTAACTACCAACCCAGTTGCCCAAACTTCTCCAACCGACCAGTCGAGATCACAAATATCCACCAGTCCAACCACCAATGCCCTAACTCAGGGGCTAAGTCAAGCGATTGCTGTTGCCGCAGGTATCGCGGAGTGCCGCTCTTTGGCAGCTTTGCCTACCACTTGGTGGTGAGGAGGCCGCTTCTTTTTGAGCCACCGTTCCAGCAACCAAGTCATGATCTGACGCACCCTACGGTGCAATCGGAGAATAATTCAATGCCACTCAAAGGGCTGGGCTCAAGCATCACAGCTCATCAAGCTCATCAAACTCACTTTCTTCCGGAGGTGCTTCTTCACCTTCCTGGCAAGGGCAAGAGCCTTCTCGCTCAATTCTGACGGACCCTGCAGAATCGCTCAATCACAACCACTTCACGGCTCAAGTGTTTGGCTCCCCGCGAGAGCAAAGCCCCTCCTCAAAAGCTTGCTGCTTTCTCCGGCGCGAGAGGAATGCGCCCACGCCCTTGAGCAAGAGGTCCAGCCCAACCTCCGAACGGATTTCCCCTCCACTCTGAGTCGGCTGCAGGTCCATCAAACGACAATTGGCCACAGCTGCAAGGTGCCATCTTCGACTTGCACTCTGCTCTCAGCCCTCAGCCCGGGAGAAGAAGACCAGGGACAGCGATCCTCAGAGAGACTCGAAAAAGGAAAGCCGCGAGCTGCACCCCGCTGAACCCGAAAGGCCCGAAACTTTTTTTGCACCGGAGGGTGTTTGGTTGCTGCCTTTCCTGGCGCATCCAGATCCATCCCACCCATGCCTAAAAGAGGCAAGGTGCCAACCACCGAGGCGAAGCCGAAAGGCCACGTGTTCACCGGCAGCTCTTCCTGGACCACACGCGTGCACGGAACCCTTTCCCGGCCCCGGCCCGGCGCGCAAAGTTTCACCCACGGTGAGGCTCGGGCGTAGAGCCGGCCAGGGCCACCTGTCACCTCGTTGCCAAAGGCCAGCAGGTTGGGCTCCCAAGGGAAACCGCGCGCATGAATTCGGCATGATTCGGCATGACTTCGGCATGATGCATTTGTCCAGAGTGCGATTTGTGCGGCCGACATTGACATGCCCTTGGAATGCCTCAAAAGCGAGAACGCCGCGCGGAAGAAAGCTGGGCCAGCTGCAAAGGCGAAGACCGCCACGAACTTGATGAAGTTGTTCATGGCCTCCAGGCGCCCACCATGGATTCAAACAGCACCTGCGCAACCCTAGGCAGGTGCTGGGCCAGTCGTATCCTCGAAGGGGCCGCCTCAGTCAGCACCAATTGGCATAGTCAAAAGCTAAAGAGTTAACACCACACACATGAGTCATGAGGTTGTTGCTTTCCATGCTCCAAGCTCTCTTCCAGTGCTGTCATGAGATGCGGGCCAATTGTCTCCCCAATGCCCAGGTTTGCATAATGCGGCGAGTCGGGACCTGCTGCGCATACAAGTTTCACAAACCTCGATTACACACCCATCTAGCCCTTGTGACCCATCACTGGGCTGCTAGTCCTAACTGAGAGGGTGCCCAACACCAGGCATCCATTTGATCAACGCGCGCATCATCCAGTCCCTTCCGCACCTATCACATTGCCGTCTTTGTCACGGAGTAGGCCGAAGAGCACGAACTTCCTGCGGCGGGGCGGCCCCTTGATCACCTGGGAAAGCTACAGGCGGTCCTGTTGTGCCCTCTACCACAAAATCAGCTCAACGTCCACTTTTGTTTTATCGGGTGGACACCCTCCCAAACTGGGCAGTTGGGTCCTCGCTGCCACCCAGGACTGGCCGGAGTTGATGAGAAAGATGCTCAGGCACAAGACCAGGACATTAGAGCCAGATATCATGAAGAGGAGGCCTGGCAGCTCGCACGTGCTGATGGCAAGCTTGCCGCTTGTGTTGGACATGATTGATTCCCTGTCTGCTAGTTATCCAACTGGCTTCATTCGACTAACCCTAAGAAGGGTGCCCTCAAAAGCGACCAACCCACACCACCGGGTACCTGGGTACCTTCCTTCCCCCATCCCGCCTTTCACGCCCAGGAAGAAGCCGCCGATCATGGGGCAGGCCAGGGAGTTGATGATGGGGGAGATGGTCATCCGCATGGACGTGATGGACCCGAAGGACGCCAGCTTCTTCAGAGGCCTCACGTGCGACCTCGGGTGAGACGGTACATGTCCTCGGCTTGCGCTTTGGGGGCGGCTCATGGAACTTTGGCACTTTGGGTTGAGGCTTCAGAGGTCGAGAATCACCCCGACCGGATCTGAAGAAGAACCAGGGGTTCAAACTCAGGACCGCCCTTTCAACACGGCAGGGATACCCCCCGTGACCCCAAGGCCCGGTGCTCCCATCCCAAGGCCGCAGCTGAGGGAACGGGAGCTGCGCAATCTTGCCAATCTCGTGCTGGGCCACGTACTTGGCGAAGGCTTGGGCCGTTTGGAGGCCTCGGGGCCGGAGAGAAAGGTCAATCAAAAGCTTCCACCATCAAGTGGATCATGTCGACCCCTCCCCCGAATTGAGGGAAAGCTCATGTTAAATCATGTGCATGCATCACACCAGCCGGAGCAACAAGCCGAGAACAGTGCCAAGCTGGAGCTCGCGCAGCCTAGGGCTCCAGCACGATATCATCGTATTGGCTGCAAAGGCGAAGGTCATCACAACTCCCAGGACCAGACCCGCTTGACCTCACAAAGCTTTCAGCCATCGCCAGTGAGGCATTCCCCTAGAAAGCTGGAAAGTCTTGAGAGCATGCAGAAAAACAACGTCTCCCCTGACCGTTGCTTCCTTTCGGGTCCCGGCCCCTTGTGATTGGTTGCGCTAACGGTCGGAAGCATGCCCCTCCCATGCACCATGAACGCTGAGATGCTGTAGCTCGACAAGATGGAGCCCGTGACGTTCATGTAATTGATGTCCAGCTCCGTGTACGCTTGTGCCAGCAGCGTGAGAGCGATGTTAAACACGGCCTGGAACGCTTGGAAGCAGGGAGGCAAAATATGGGTTTAACACAACAGCGGTCACACCTGCGTCGGTGCGCACTCTCAAATTCTGCTGTTCGAACATGCTTTCAATATGACCCGATCAATCTACCTGACGAGGTGCGCTGAAAGCATTCACCGCGGAGATGGTGTTGCCAGCATGCGCCGTAGTATCCTCACAGTCAGCTTTCAGTTGGGTGAGGCTTGGGCTTGCGCCTTGCCATCGACGCCACTCTGTCAAGTTTCGAACGACTGCATGGATTCGAAGTCATGGCCATCTGAGGCCGCCACCCCAAGAGATGCACAAATATTGGCACGGTGTCGGCTCATTGCATGGTAGGTCGTCAGATGCACAATCTGCGGCAAGACAAAACAGTGGTTGAACGCTTCAGGCAGGAGAAAAATGGCAATCTTGCAGACGTGCGCCGAAAAGGAAAGAGCTACCCAAACAAGCACATCTGCCCCGCGAAACTTCGGATCCCAAACAACCAAAAGCCAGACAGGTTCAGAAGATCCCCAGTGCAGCTCCCCACTTCCACTGACCTGCCGAGTTGCCTGGCCAAATGTTGTCACTTCACCAAAAACAATCGACAAAGAAACGCGCCAACCAAAGGCTTGAAGTTTGCCAAGGATGTGTCATCTACCATATCCTTGCAGAACTCCTGGTGTCTCCTTGGCTCCCTCTCTAAAGGCAAATTGGGATAGCTCAACGGCTCTCTTCCCTTGGTTCCGGGAAGTCCGGGCTCGGCTTCCGGGCTTTCCTTTCCCCGGGGGCCCCCCACTCGCCCACTCGCTCGCCTTGTGGGCATTGGTGGCGATGGCCCCGAAGGAGGCGATTCCTCCCTGGAAGCCTGCCGGCGGATGGCTGGCCGACTCTATGCCATGACATATCCATGATGTGGCTATGGGTCAAACTGAAACCAGGAATTGGACCGCAGGTTTTAGTCCATGTTTCCATTTACTAGGGCAACCCATTTTGGGTACCTATTTTTGACCCACAGCCATGTCCATGTCAATCTGTCTGATCAATTAATCTACCTATCTACCCGAGCAAGAAATCAAAAGCTGCCACTATTTCTTCATATCATTATACACAAACAATTGAATGAGCTCTAGGATTAAAACGGGGGACCCCCACAAATGATGAAATTGATGTTGCTTTCTTTTGAAAAGCGAATGAAGAGGGAGTCCCTATCCATGGTCGTCCCCACATTTGTGCTTTTGGCATCCGCCTTTGGGTGGCTTCTTTACCTTCATTTTGGCCGAAGACCCCCACGGTGCACACGTCACCACATTTTGGCCAAGAAGCCCGTGCCACTGACAGACGCAGCACTGAGCAGTGCAAGGCCGTAGTGCTGCTCAAGACGCCAGGTGGCCACCTCAACGACTGCGCCACGGAAGTGCCATGCAAATCTGCCCACTAGCATGGAATCTGCCCGAAAGTGTTCTGGAACTTGGAGAATGCCTCCCAGCAACATGCCGGCCAATTTCCTCGTTAAAAGACCCCATGTCTGCTGGTCGGGTGTGAGTGTACCAATTCAATGAACCTAACGCGCTTTTGGCAGTAAGGAATCATGAACAAAAACTCCAAAGAGCTCTGTCATTTGACCGCCTCACACATCATTGCTTGCTTGGAATTAAGGATGGCCATCATGTTGATAAAAGTGCACGTGAAGGCAGCTGCAACAAACTCCATCCAGCAATGGAACTTGCTTCTCATGAGCACGAGGGGCAAACCAGAACTTTTGCAGGAGGGGGACCGGCTGGGTCCAAGCCGCAGCGCGGGCAAGTCTCAATGCATCTGAGGCACAACACAGGTGATGATCACAACAGCTGGAAGGCCTCGCTCGCTCTTGCAAAACAAAAAAGATGGCTGTGGATTCAAAATAGGGTGACCTGGCAAATGATACCAAGGACTAAAACCTGCGGTCTCCTGGCGGATTGATTGTGACCATACCCAGATCAGGCCCATCCACTCAAGGATGCAAGTGTGGCTCACGCAGGCGCACTCCCGCCCCGAAAACTGCCACCGCGAAGGAGAACCAAGGCCCCTCGGGCCTGTCGAGAAGAAGCCCTGGCCAAAGCCTGCGGACAATGGGCTTGGAGCAATCACCTTCACCACAAAGGGAAGAACCTGGCTTCCACCCAACTCCTTTGAGGCTCTGGAATCTAGCTTTTGAAAACTTATAGCTAGATGAATTTAGTGTGAGGGCACGCGCCAAGGTGCATCAAAGCGCTTCACAAGCTCCGCCGTGCCTTGAAGAACGACTTGCACAATGCCCAGGTCCGCGTTCATGGCAAGCGAGCGCACGGGAGAGTAGTCTGTGGATGTGAAGAATTCCCCTCAGTGGCCCGCCTCTTGCATAGCGTATGCAGCCGACTGCAAGCATTCTGGCACCATATTCCCCACAACTGACATCAAGCCATCACAGCAAGCAAGATTGCGCATAAGCAAAAGCAGCCAAAAGGCAATAAGGCACACAAGGCCAGCACCGCTACCGCCAGCAGCACCACCCACACTACACTATGCCCACACACCAGCCACACCTCATGAACATCACCAAGCAAATGAGCAGGCTGGCTTCATCATTGGCCCCACTGATGGCGAAACCAGCATGTGCAAGATGTAACGTGTGCCCCGTCCAACACAACTGGGATTCATGGTGCAAAGCGCAAACAACCACGCACTGCAGTGCAGCTAAGATGCCTAAGAGAACGCACACTTCCGGAATGATTTGCCCCATAAGCCTTGGCAAAGAGGTGCGATGCATATTTGCTGATGCAGGGGCATAATGGTCTTTCTGTCTTTCCTGGTCCTCATTGCAACGACTGCCTTTCACCACTGTTTCAACGATGATAACGCATGACCGCCCTTCCAAACACCCAATCACACCCTTGAAGCCCAAGTCATGGTCAAAGCATGCCATGGGCATAGCAATCGCGCAAGCGAGTGGCTTCTACGCAACATGCAATCGGCCGGCTGGGGGATGGCTTTAACAAATGCCAGGCTGCGAAATGGCGCAGAAGTGCCAGAACCTATTAAAGCTGATTGTGCCTGCCAGGTACTCCTGGAAGCTCACGGAAATTTGCACCTCAACCGGGGGAAATGTGACGAAAGCCACCCCGAACTAGTAAAAATGGAAAGCCTACTTGACAGAGGGACGGGACTAGAACAGAAAAACGCACCTAATTGAGGCTGGGACGGTCCCTTCTAATCTTGGCGCACATGCTGTCCGTTTCCCTATGTCACCTGGCCTGACCCATACCGCCGGCCGTTGCAGCCCAGGCTCCAGCTGCACCAGGCCGATGACCAGCAACAGGTTGGCACGCAAGCTCCAGCGGATTCTCTGAGCGGTGAACCGCTCGTGCACGTGAACAAAGTAGGCCACCAAAGAACAGCCCACCTGGGAAACAAGCTGGGTTGCGGCGGCATGACTCTGAAACCACGTTTGCATACAATGATGCTTGCCCAAAGTCGCCTGGCATCGCCACTGGGGCATGAAATTTACTTGGGGGGTGTCCTCTATTGTAAAAACCATAGCCACCTAAATCCTCAGGCGGAAAGATGGCAAAAAAACCTTTGTGAACTCAGATGCCCGCCATGCCGGAGGCGATGATCCAAAAGGGCAGGCCAGAGTTGAAGTGGGGCACCTAGAAAGGCAGCGAGCACAAGACCAAAAGGTGCAAAGGGCATCATGTTGCATAATGTTGCGTTGCATTGCTACACATGAACATGTTGCAACGTGTCGCATCTTGTGGCACCAGGTTCCATGAATCATGCTCCATCAGGATGCATTGCGCTGCATCATGATGATGCATCAGGTTGCATCTTGTCGCATCCTATTGCATCGCGCCGCCTGCGTCGTATTATGGCACTATGACATGTTGCAGTGCATGATTAAGAAGCATCGTGCATCATGTTGCATCATATTGCATCACGCCGCAACATGTTGAATCGCGTTGCCAATTATGTTGAATCCTCTTGGGTGGAATTTAAAAAACCGCGCAACATGCTGCATGCCGCTGCATCATGTTGCATCTTGACATCATACTGCATCATGCTCCTTCACGATACATCATAATGAGTCCATGTTGAATCGTATTGCAGCATGCCGCATCATGTTGCCTCTTGCTTCATCATGATTCACCATATGCGTCAAGCTGCATCATCGTGTTGCATCACGCGGCGTTACACGCTGTACCATGTTTATCAAGGTCTCGGCAAGCTCTCTTTTCCGCACCTGAGTCTGCAATGTGTCAGTCAGGCAGCCGAATGCTGCCATGAGGTCAGTGCAAAAAAAGCCATGGTCTCAAGGCATACCTGTGCTGCTTGTTGCAAAAACCACCAACAGCCCGGCTCTCAAGATCCTAGCGGAGCAGACCGGGCAATGAGCCTCCTGGCTTCGCACCTGGCAGCCAACTCGGACTCGGAGACGGCCCGCCACGGGGCGCTTTCAACCAAGGGCGCTGCGAAGCGAGAGAAGCTCCAGCAGGAGCTCTCCAGCCGATCAGGCAACTACCTCCCCCGGATTGCTCAACAAGCTCACCGGAGGATGGTCCGAACCCATGCGCCATTGAGCAAGGTCGTAAGCTTCACCCGTACCTCGAGCTCTACGGCGGCTATCAGAACTCCAATGGATCCTCGCACCAGGTTGAGGAATCGCATCTGGTGGAGCGGGTTGGCCACAGTCCGAGACACTGCCGCCAGACCAGAGGTTGCCGCCAAGAGAACAGCCGCAAAAGGCTGCTTCTGTGGAGCCTGCTGCGGCTGCGAGGCTGCCTGCACCAGTTTGGCAGCGGTGATTTGTTTCGGCATTTGGGTCCCAGTCAGCCGGGTGGGACAGGGCGGCTCACGTGCCCACGCACTGCTTGCGCTGCTTCTGGTCGCTGGAAACGCGCCCTTGTGCTGCATCCAGACACCCACCCGTCTACGCACCCACATTTGCACGCGCCCACGCACTGCTTGCGCCGCTCCTGGCTGAAACTCATCCAGGCGCCCACGCGGCACCACGTGCCCACGCAGACTGCTTGCGCCGCTTCTGGTTGTTCGTGTTCGGGTCGCACTGTCTCTTGTTGTTCATGTTCGGAACTCCGGAAACGAATCCAAGCAGAGAGGGTTGGACTGGAGGTGGGGATCAAAAGCCGGGAGCTGGTTGAGGAGCGATCGATGTTTTTGGCCGCTAGGAAGCTAACTTCCTTTGGCTGTAGAAGGTGTTCCCCGCCCTCACCCCCTAATTGAAACAGCGGATCCCTTTGAGGCTTTGCCGGTTGCTCAAATGACCTTCGTTCCTCTCTAGCCTCAATTCCCAAGCTTATGTGCCGGCGCAAGAAGTGCTTTGACGAGATCATCAGCGCCAAGGGCAACAGGTTCATGGCACTACATGTGGGAAAGCCGAGGAAGGTGGAGCCTGCAACGTGTGACAAGATGCTGAAGCAGCTCATATGTCGCAACGCTGCGCAGCTGAAAGACCTCCTGGTTGAGGCAGGGAGCCTCCAAGAGATCGGAGAGGCCGTGAAATTCGATCGCGCCAGATTTGAGAAGGATTGGATGAATCTTTGCCTTGTGTGGTCCAGGAGCGAAAGCCAGGCCGTGCGGTGCACGTGCTGGCACTGGGCTTGGAAGAGCTATTGCGTTCACGTGTGTTGCGCTCACGAAAAATGGGGTACCCCGGTACCCGGAGTCATGTCAAAGACCTCCTTCCCACATCCACCGCAGCCAAGATTTGAAACAAGGCTCCTCGGAAGAAGCCGAAGTTTTTCGTCGCGCCAGGCGCACGCGTCGGAAGTAAGTCGGGGCGTGCCCGCTTCACCAATTTAAAGAAGAGTCAGAATAGGGCCCACAATGAGGAACACGTTTGTTGCTGGACCCCTGACGCTTCGTGATTTTCCGCATCCCTTTTAGCTTCTTGAAGTTTGCTCAATCAGAAGTTACGGCTGTAAGTGAAAAGCCCAAGAGTGACAGCCACCGCAAGCACATGTGCTCCTGCAACAAAGAGAGCTTGGGTGTGAGTGGCTGTGGGGCGCTTGCGCAACCAGGGCTGCTAAAGATTGCTGCCTGGCCCAAGCCCAGACACGTGTCATGGGGCGACCCATCTGCCTCTCCTGAAAAGGGCCAGAGCTTTCGACGCGGCTCCAAATTCTTGAAGGCGATTTCAAGTATCCTGCCATGATGATGCTGCACACAGGTTTGGGCCGCCTGATAGAGACGCGACCGAACCTCATCTGTAAGCTAGCAAGTGACAGGCCCTGTCCACTGAGCGAAGCATCGAAGCCTAAAATCAAGCTTTCCCTCTGCTTTTGGGTCGAGCCTGCAACAGGTCTGCCAACCGTCAAAAAGGAGTCTGCTCGAACAGGGCCCAGGTCTTCCGCATTCCGGGGATGAAGCATGGAGTGTCCCTGGTTGGAGCATCAGCGGGATTCTTCCTTGTTGGCGCACAGGGGAGAGCGGGGTAGAAATACCAGCGAGTAGCAGAGCGGAAATGCGGCGAAGGGTCGGAGAAAGACCCCGAGGGAGAGCGCCCCTTTGAGATGGCCGAAAGAGCGACAAAGGAGTCGATGAGCGCAACAAATCGGAGTAGTGCAGGAAAGGTAGCAAAAGGGGTCCTAGTGGCGAGCACCGCAAACCGGGGCTTGCGCTTTGCCTGTCATTTCTGTGTGTCGTTGCTGGCTGGAGGGTGCTTTGCCTCGTTCTTCCAAGTAGCTATCACGTCGATCTCCTTGATGTAGGCCAAAGCGCAGGTTGCCCATGCTTGAAAGCGAGAGTTGATCGGCTGTGCCCTGTGGCTGAAGACCTGCTGCGGAGGCTCGTCCATGAGTGTGAGCAGATATTTTCCCCCGTCCCGAACATGAACAGAGCCAAATCCTCTCGTGCTGGTCTGCATCGATGACTCCACCCTTGCATGATCCTCGGAACAGGCTCTGACCGCCATGCAGTAGATCGCTCTTCTGAGATCCTTGTAAGCATGGGCGGGGGCAGGCACTAGAGCCAGCAACACTGGGATGGCCAGGTAATTGCCCTGCATGGGTTCCCATCCGAAAGGAAGGTGATGGGATCCATTGTTACTGTGAGCCACTGACTCCAGCTCCCTAGCCTCGCGAGGCTTGGACTTGCCGACAAGGAGGTGTAGTAAGACAAAGACAAGCCAGAGGGGGATGGACATTGAAGGCAGCTGATGTCCCCGGATGGACCTGTCGGGCCTCCAAGCCGATGAACCAGGCGCGCCTTGCTGTGGATTCAGGGGCCCCCGCTGCCGCGGTGAGCCTGCGGCAGAAAGGACTCAGAAGCTGCCTGAGCGGCCAATTCCGGGATGACCTCCCAGCCGCCGTCACGGGAGGGCTCAGAGCGGGAGTTGAAGGAGGAGGCTCGCCGAGTGGCAATAGCCTCGGTAGCAAGACGAAGGCGTTTGAAAGCAACTCTTAATCCGTCGAGAGCCACCTCCTTATCACTCATGCAAGTATGCCTTAAGACAGGAAAGATGATGAGGACACGAGTGTGGCGGAGAGGGAGGCCGTTGAGCCTTGGCCAGATCTGAGAGGCTGGCCACCGCCGGGGAGCAAAGAGGGAGGCCCGAAAGACGAAGAGAGTGGAAAGCACACCGGCCAAGAAGGAAGCAAGGACCAGGGGAAGGAAGAGGCTAAGCGAGCCGAAGCAGTGAGCCGGACAGGAAAGCCCCCACCAACCCGAACGAGCGCCTTCCAAAAGAAACCGAGGTCCTGCTGACAACCAGAAATCCAAAAAGCTTGAGCAACAGGTCCAGAACGAATGCAAACTTCGGCCTTATTGGAGTCAATGTGGCGCCGTGCTGAATGATGACACGTCAAAGTGCATCTTGTTGCATCATATTGCGCCATACTGCATCACAACGCATGATATGGCGTCATGCGATGTAGTGCATCAAGTCTCGTCATATTGCATCATGATGCATGGTGTTGCATCATGTTGTGCCGCGCTATTTGGCATAATGTTGCATTTATTGCATCCGTTTGCATCATGGTCCATCATGTTGCGTCATATTGCGTCAAGTTGCGTGTAATGTTGCATCACGCTGCAGCATCATAGAACACCATTCTGCATGACCTTCAACATCTTGCATCATGTTGCATCATATTGGATGATGTTGGGTCATATTGCGTTTCTTCCTGTTGCATCAAGTCGTCTTGTGTTTTTCAATAAATAGTCTATCGTATTACGTCATGTTGTTTTCATTTGGCGTCATGTTGCATCATGTCGCATCAGGTTGCGTCAGGTCGCACAATGTTGCATTACTCGGCATCGTGTTGCATCATGTTGCAACATGCGAAAACATGTTGCCTTATGTAGGTCAGAATAACATGGTTCCGTTGACTGGGACCTCTTCGGGTGGAAAGTCAAAAGGCAAACACAGTGCAAAAAGGGCCCTGGCCCTAAAAAGCCACAAGAGTTCACATCTCTGAAGTGGTGAGAAGCTTCCGCAAATTCAAGCCAGTCGAATCGTGCAGGCAAGGTGCGGGGCTTCCTTTGACACCAATGATGGTGCAGGTGCCCAGGATCAAGACCATGGACTCGAACAGATCGGCACAAGTGCCGGCGACGTCATTGATGGCCTCTCGAGCCGCGCATGTTTTGTAAGTGCCCCGCAAAGCAAAGACTGCCAAATCTCGTGCTCGCTAGCAAGCCGGCCGCGCAGATTGGCAGATGGCGCCTCGCCCACGGTGTCGAAGTAATCGATGGGGTGCAGCTTCGAGGCGATATCTTGCATTTGATCCTGACCAGCGACTGGCGCCACTGGTCAAGGCCAGGCCCCTTCTCGAACCTCAGCCCGCCTCCATCTTGCGCAGCTCCTCCATCATATCTTCATCATCTCCTTCCAGCCCCTGCTTGGCCCGCTCCTTTCGATCTTCCTGGCACTGCGAGAACCACGTCAACAACAAAACCATTGAACATTGTGGCAAACCCAGGACTGCCCTTCACAAGGGGTGGCTCTGGCCAATTTTGCCCAGGCTGCTGATCCATCCAAGTGCTTTTGCCCGTCAGGTCCGTGTTGCACCCCTCAAGTGCCTCCAACTCCGCCATCTTCCTCTGCAGCTCGAAAAGCCGCTGGTCCTCCTCGAAACGGGCCTGCTCCATGTCACCTAGGCTTGGGCCCAAACCCCCCCCCCAACGAAAATGAAAGGCAGAGACCCACAATGAAAAAGCAAACCGCAGCTTCAGGACCGTGTTTGGGAGGCATCGCATCTTGGTGCAGGAATGCTGGCTTGCTCTCTATTGGCTGGCAGCACAGCACATTGCAAGCAAGGGGCTCACCAAGTCTGCCCCAATGTCTGCACCCTTGGAGAAGATGCCGCCCCCCACCCGCATCGAGAATGACACCTCGAAAGCGCGTCTAGGATTTCAGTCAGACCGGGAGGAAACCTGGCCATGATTCTAAATCTGGCAAACAAGGAAGGAACTGTTGCCTGTTACCTATAGCTTTGGCTTGAACACTACCCCCTCCATGACCAAGTGGCAATGGATGCACCCGAGCCGAAACCGGAAAGCGACAGTGTGTCCTGCCAGCCAGCCGATGCTCCAAGATTTCCAAGCATGCTAGGCGTGATGTGGCCTGGGGCTGCGAGGCAAATCAACTAATATTCTTCAAAAACGCAAAGTCCTGGATCAAGAGCCACATGCCAGCCATGCCTGCAAATCGCATCGCAACCCGAGGTGTGACGCTGATTCCCTGCCGCCCCGCCTCCTAATGCAAGGGACGTTGCCAGCAAGCCACCGATAGAGCCCGTCCTGGCAACGCGGCTGATCACCGACCAGCGCAAGTCAAACTTTGCGTCGGAAAATCACCTAAGACAACCGCCAAAGCCATCACGAAACCAGCAGCTGCACTTGTCAAATTGGCTCTCCTGATCCCTATCTGCAGGGAGTCGAACAGCTCCAGCCCCAGGGCATGCGCCAGCCGGGTCTGCCCCTGCACTGTGACGCTCACCCCTACCGACGCCTCAGGCCGGCCGACTGCAACGGAATCAGAAGCCAGCACGAACATCAATAGCTAGGGAAAACATGTGTACTGTATGTATATGCCATTATGTGTACAAAAAGTAGTTGTATGCTTTCAAAGATGCTACCTAGCGCAAAACAGGAAGCGGTGCATCAAAATCAAGGCCTGCGTCTGTAATAGTAGGAAGCATCTGCAAAAAATGTGCGAGGGACCTCTTGGATTCCCTTTCAAAGCTTGGTGTGACCTCAAGAGCGCAAAAGCCTGAACATGCCCTTTGTTTGTCCTGTTTTTGCAGAGCCTGATGTTGAATCCTTGATGTCACGCATCAGTATGCCTCACTTCCCCTTGACCCTTGGAACCGAAAGCCTTTGACTCCCGCACTGAGCCCCGGTCGCTCAGCAAATTCAAGGCTGCGCCCACGGCGAAGCAAGCGACTGCCCGGGGACCAGCAGTGCCCATGACCTGACAGTCCCCAGCTGGGCGGTTGGAAAGACCCCGAAAACTGAATCCCGCCTACATGAAACACCCCGGAGCCAGGGTTAGCAATCCGGGGTCACATGACCCACGTGCGGGCAGCTCTGATGGTCTCAACATCAAAACTGAGCCAGGCACGTACCAGCCGCCAAGGAACAACAATGCCAGGATCTGGGTAGTCGCAGAAGCAACGCAAGGCTTGCATGCGAGGCTTTTGGAATCCCCCAAGTTTGTCGGACTGTGTTCGGCTCGTGAACTGGGAACGAGGCTGCTCGTTGTGAGAAGAGCTATTGCTGCTCAAGTACACACATGCTTGCAGTCCCAAAATCAACGTTCAAACCGGCATAGCGGTACTTCGTCTGCATTGGGACCCTTTAGACGTGCTTCTCACTGGGCCCCGCACCACCGGAATGGTCCGGCTCATGTAGACGTTGACGCCCTTGGAGATGAGGAAGCCTATGTCCACCACTCTTTTGGGGCCTTGGTCCTGCAAGGTGCTTGCTGGAGCGGAAGCCATGCGCGGCCCCTTCCGCCAAGTTCCGAAAGGGAGCACTGGGTTCGATTTGGGTATGGGTCAGAATTACACCACCGGGGGACCGCAGGTTTTAGTCTTTGTCTCCATTTAGCGGGGTTCCATTTTGGGTACATATTTTTGACCCACACCCATTTATCTCCATGAGTCGACGAGCAAACAGGCCATCCTCAAGAAGAACGAAGGAGGTGAAGTAGGAGACGGTGAAAAGCCCCAGCGACGCTCCGGCCAGGGAGTAGAACAAAGCCTTCAACAACACAAACCTCCACTGCTCTTGCTTAATACAAACTGGTGGCCTTTTTGCCGGCAGACACCCCAAATGGAACACAAAGACTTGCTCATCTCTGCCAGAACTTCCAGCCCCGCTGCTGTTGAGCCGCGGTTTGTGGCAAGTGGTAGGCAAACATCTGGTTGATCTCCCGCATGGTCCTCACATGCGATCTTTCGCCGGAGTAGTGAAAATGGTGGCCACTCTGACATTTTACTGGTGGCCCAAAACGAATCCGGGGTCTCCAAAACTGTCTGTGTTGGCACCTCCCAAATGCCAGCTGCTCGTAATGCAACCAAGGATCGCATCAACCACCGGCTGCATCTCCGGCCCGTAGGGCGGCCGCACTTCCTCACAGCATGGCCCTCAACCATTCTTCCCAACATTCTGGCCTTCCCCGAGCCCAGACCACATTCTCCCAACTTGTCCCCGAGCAAATCAAAGCACTCTCAATTGCGCGGACGTAGGTCCTTCACATACGAGATTTCTTCGGAAATGATCTGGAAGGCAGAGCCACGGGTCGAGAGGATCATCAGCACCTGCCGGGGCTGCTCAGTTTGGGCGGGGTGGAGGGAAAAGAAGAAAGCTCGGCCCAGGCACGGTGCTGGCGAGGAAGCACAGCACCTGAGCGGGCGACCAGCGGATCTAAAGCGGCCGTCGAAAAAGAACGAATGTTTGAACGGACCATGGATTTGCTCTGTTTTGTGCGGGCTAAACACACAACAGGGCACTGTAAAGGAGGGGCTCTCTTGCTGCAAAGGCACCCAGATCATCATGCACCATGCCGCCCACCAGCTGAAGGTGCCCTCAAAAATCACGACTTCGTCCGGCTGCCTTAGACAACCGCGCCCGCTGGCTTGAACTTGCCAATTCGGGTCTGAGGCAACCCCTCCAAGCGAGTACAATGCCTCATAGAGTGCAAGCAAGCACCGGCCCCAAAAAAAACTAAAATCAGGCACACCCTTGCTGCCAAGAAGCGTCCTGGCTTCTTGGCTCTTGGGCGGCATGCCTACCCAAGGCTTGGCATGCAATAGGACCTCTATAAGCTGGCATCCCCCAGCTTCTGACCAACGTCAAAGTCAAACCTCAACACAGTCCAAAACCCAGTGGGGCAGCACCACGGCGTCCCGAGAAAGAAAGAGACGAACTCATGCTTGAAGGGAAACGCTCCTGCATCTACCAAGCATAGGTGGGTCACCCTCTCCCAGCTTGCCGCTGCCGGCCTTTGAGGCCGCCGAAGAGCCACACGGGCCTGACTCAAGAGTCGCGCGGCATCGATCAGCCAAAAGCCTATGGCACGCGGCCAGTTGACCAGGTGCGGGAGCTGGCCCCTTTTCCATAATATTTAAACAATGACTTGCGGAAGCCCTCGATAACACAAGCACACACACACACACTCACACGCACTCCATGACAAGGTTAGGAAAGCTGCAGATGCTTCAACCACCTCTATTCCCCCAACATCACGGGGTGGTCTGCAGCCAAGGTGCTGGACAAGGCTCACTGAAAGGCATACATGCAAGTCTCCGCAGCATGGGCCGCTTCACAAGACAACTTGAGTGGCACCGTTATGCCATGCCGAATTGTGTCTGCGTACGTGCCAGCGATGCATGTTTGATCCCACCAAAGGGCGGTCATTTCTTGGTGTGCCTGACTTCTATAATTGCTTGCGATGTGTCTTAAAGGCTGCCTACCTGTGCGCCACAACGATGTTTGAACCCATGCAAAGGTCGAGTCTCGACATGCCTAATCAGCGAACAACTATGCAATCACAACTTGCAAAGGCCTCACAAAGCTTGCTTGCGCTTTAGAGCTCTGGGTTGGAAGCGTTCTGTTGGTCCACCAGGCTTGTCTGGCAGTTCGCCTCAGAGAGCGGGCAACACCTGAGGAGCCGAGAGAACCTATGCCAGGGCGTGAGCGAGACAAAGCCTTCGTTGTGGAGCTTCTTGCTCTCACCCTCAGCGCCACATTTCCGGAGCCAAGTCTGCCCTTGGAGGTGTGTGCCGGCCTCTGATGCAAAAGCGATGTTCAGGCTGGAGTTGGTACGAGCCTTGGTGCGTCCCACTGAGGCGAAACGCAGAAAGTTTGCACTGAGCAAACGACCGAAATGGCGCGAAGGCCCTGCAGAAGCTGCTCCTCTACCTGGCGCATCCAGTTCTACCAAGCTGGGGAACTCGTGCAAGTCGGTGTTCTGATCGCGCAAGAGCCGCTCCTTTCCAAAATGGGTTTGCCTCAAAATATGGGGGCCTGCAAAAATGCTGGTCGCCCTTCTTGTCCAAATTACAAAAACAACAGGCACCCTCCGAAGGAGCTGCCCACATGACAGGCAGCGTCTCGTGCTTGGGTGCTGCTCATCTGAAGCACGCCCACCGATCCCCTGGCCTTTGACTGCTCTGCCGGTGTCAGCCAGGCCTCGGGTTGGAGAGGGTGGGGTGACGCCCGAGGCGTCGGCAAGACATTGGCCAAGTCCAAAGGAGTTCGCTCGTGGGAATCCCTTTGACGTCGTACACTGGTGGCCAACGGCCTCTAATCACCCACACGAGTTGGACTAGTTGCAGGAACCACTTTCATGACATCACTCGGATGCAGGATGGCCAAGGACAATGACAAATGTATACACAGTACTGCTCACATGGGCGAGAAACCATTTGCGACTCATGCCATCTGACTCAATTTCCACACTGCCCACAACTTCAGCCACCTTCCTTTGCTCTCCAAGCATCATTCCACCACTTGTTGCGCAGTTTCCAGGGGACGGTCCCAACAACACCAGCTCAGGGGCGCTTTAATGCCGGCACGGCATCGCGTGAGAGAAAAGAAGCATGAAGCGTTCACAAACAAGGCATCCTAAAGCGCAAAGACGCCCTACAAATGTTCATGTCCAACGTTTTTCCCATCGCCACCCATCTTTCGATCAACCACCAACCCGTAAGGAAGACCTGCAAGCCTTGCTCGGTCGGGAATGCCCATTCCGCTGGGCCGCCCTGCTGCAGTAATGAGGCGCCGCCCTTTGTGCGGGGTGAAAGGCCTGGGCGGGCAGTGGTTCTGCTCCAACGCAGGTGACGCCTACCAAACGGCTCACAACAGGACCTTCGTTAATTCTGCGGCCTTGGAACGCTTGCAGGCTGGGAAGGGAACCATTCCCTTTGGAAGCCGCCAGGTTGTGCTGAGGGAGGAGCGGTTCCAGGTTACCTACGTGGGCTAGAGACATACAACTATAACACATGGCTCAGACCCGGCCGGCCCTCACACCCCGTGTTGGCATGTCCCACGCGCACTCGTTTCAGAGCCAGCCTGTGCTCTGCGCTGAGCAGCCGGCACGCCCACGAACAAACGCGGCCAATGCCATCGCTCATGCCTTCGCGAAGCCTCGGAATCAAAACTGTCTCAAAAGCTCAATGAGCAAAGTCAAAACCTCCGATGCTCAACCAAACCCATCCCAGGAACATTTCCCTTGGAACACTCCAGTGGGGCACTTTCTTTGGGCATTCCTCACCCCCAGAGCCTTTCAGAGCCCCAGATTGCCCTGATGCACCCTCCGATGCACCCTCCGTGCCTCGATCCACTCCGCCTCCTCGCAGAACTCGCCCTCGCTGTGCATCTTCAAGTACATCCTTACGGCCCGGCGGCGTATTGTATGGCCCGCCCATGCCCCCACGAAGCACGAGGCGGCTCGTTGTAACGGAGATGGCAAATTGCTGCAATGCAGGTCTGGGTTGCTCAGCTGCTAGGGCGCCTGCGGAACAGCCCCCATGAGCTGCAGACCAGACCGTCCAGCGCGGCACGCCTCAGCTTCTTCTTGCAGGATCTCTGAGTCTCTGTGAACGGGGCAGGCGAAACAAGATCCCCATCCAATCAGCGGTGCAGCGAGCGCTTTTGAGCCTCGCCCAACCGATCCATCCATCGCTGGCTGCCAGCTGCTAGGCCTTGTGATTCGTCGTAGCTGCAACGCCAGCCCAGGCTCTGCGCCAGGCCGCGACCGCCAGGGGACTCGCCGTGCGGGCAACCGATGTACTGCTCCCATCTTCGCAGGTTCACTGGCAGCCACCATGCTGCGCCACGTCTGCAGCCTGGTTCTGGTCGCGGCCGTCCAGATCGTCCAGATTCCACCATCCGGGATCCAATTAGGGAGGATTGTCTGCCCAGAAGTCCTGGAAGGGAGCCAACACTTCCCGTCAAAAGTTGTCCATACCACTGCACTTGGTCTGAGACATGCTCTCTCTCTCTTCCCTTGCTGTGCCGGAGAGCCCCCAAAAGGCCGTGTTCCTTTGAATTCCCTCAAAACCAACTTTGAAAGGGTGCCCTCAAAATCAGTACACCCACGCCTGCCCCAAATCCGAGCCTGGAGTTTCTGGACATCGTTCATCTTCCTGCGTCAAGGCTTAGGAGCCCAACACCCACTGCAGCGACTCAAATCTGAATGGCAGGGAGGGGAAAGAAAGAACACGAGCCACAGGCGACCGCACAGGGCAACCATAGGCAGAGAAAAGGTGAGCCGAGAGAGCGAAGAGGCCAAGGAGAAGCCAAGAGCCACAGCGCAGGGCCGCGACCAAAACGCTGAGAGGAGATTGAAAAGAGCGGGGCCGAAGGCTGCAGCGCAGGGCTGCAACTAGAGGCCACGAGTGGCAGAAAGATTGTGAGGAACGAAAGGGAGACAAAGAAGCCACAAATGTGGCCACTACATTTGAAGCATCCCATATCTCCATGTGGTAAACACAACCTTCCTCCCATTAATTGCGTGCCATGTATGTTCGGAAGCAGGGGTCTTGAATCACAATCACATATGACAATGCTTGACTCCAGCCCCGATGCCATGAGCTCACAAAGATGAGGCCACATGTACAACTCGAGCACCCTGGCAATTTTTGCGCACACCACTAGACATGCACAGATAAACGCGCGCGCGCACGCACATGGAAACCATGGTTGGGTCATGTTCATAGTGGCTCCCCACAAGGACCCCCCCCCAACCCTCTACATGGTAGGGCGAGCCCCCAACGATCTCAAAGCAAAGGTCAGTGTCCACCACCCGCCCCCGCACCCAGGTCCCTACGGGTGCGACTGGCATGTTGCGAACAAGGGCGGGCGTCGGAGCTGCTTCCCTCTGCAGATTTGTCTTCGGGCATGGCCTGTCCTGCAAGAATGCCAAGTCTTTTCTCACAAGGAAGGGCTTGCAGGTCTGCGAGTGTCTTTTTCAGCCCCTAGCAGGTGGATATAGACAACCGCCAGGACCAAGTTGGGTTCTTTTTCAAACACGATGCAGTGCTGCAAACTATGCAGCACGTCGATGCATTTTCGAACGTCGAAGCACATTAAAGTATATAACACTTTCGTTCAGACTGCCTAAGCATAACATTGCAGAACCTTCTGTGAGTGCCTGCGGACCAAGCTGCAACTATACCGTCCTAACCTAGGACGCGTATGCCGAAACATGGCTGGACAACTCGTCCCTAATAGCGGTTCATTTCTGGAAGCTCCACCTCCTCACTGGCAAGCCGCTGCTCCGCCTCGCCACGCCTGCGGAAGTAGACGCATGCCCCGACCGCGGCAAGCGCTGCAAGGCCCACTAGCCATGGGATGGGGTTGAAAGTTTCTTCCACAAACGTGGTAGTGGTGTACGTGGTGGAGCTTGCAGTAGTTGTCGTCCATGTGGTGCTCGACTTGGTTGCGGAAGCTGACGTGGACGTTGCTGTTTGCAGTACTGCTGGTACTACTCGTCTCAGTGACCGTGGTCTTGGTTATTGTCGTTCTTGTCCGAGTGGTCCTCGTAGTGGTTGGACCCACATGGGGGAAATCGCCGCCTGGTCTGGGAGGAGCCAGTGTGCGAGCGACGGCCTTCGAGCCCACGGATTTCGGGGTTAGCCCGAAGCAGGCCCCGTAAGAGACGTTGTAGGTATACGCGCATTCCACCTCGCTGCCCTCGTGCCAATATCCGCTAATCTTGGTCCAGCCTCCTTTCTAAAGGCGTAGATTGCCCAGCAATACCGGCCCCACTGCAACTCGCCTA